CTAAGAAGAAAATTAATAACATTACTCGTGGTAGTAGGAGCAGTAAAACTAATAATCATCTATGTGTTATTTAAAATTTTAAAAAAAAGTAAATTTAAACTTGTCCAGGATTAGGTCTAAATAAAGCCATCTGGAGCCGAGACTTGCATAAGTAAATAATATTTGAAAATTCAGTCCGAATTTTAAATAAAACACAACACTTCTTCGTTACAAATACCATCTATTTAATTCTATATGATTTGAAGCTTTCGCCTGATGATGGGGACAGAGATGGTCCCTGAAACGTCGGTTTCATCCCTGAAACGTCGGTTTCATCGTTTAACCAACTGACGCGGCTGATCACCCAAGAAAATTTTATTTATTTAATGTAGTTTAAGGTGTTTACAATGAGAATCACAAGAATAAGTATAATACAGAGTTAAATTTTAGAGCGGGTGGCATATATAGTTACCGCTGGACTTTAAAGGGTTAATGAGATCTATATACTATATTATGTATGCGTTTATGTACATTAGTCGTTTGGTCGAAATTCGTGTACTAGTTTCGGATATTATGGAGCAGAGGCACGCATGACCACCCTATTAAACCTGCCATTTTGTCTCGCGCACTTCGTTCAAAGAATACAGAAGTTGGAAAGTAGATCCTTGGACCATTCATAGACGGCCTTTTACCAATGAACAAGTATGAATGAATAAATATTACAATTTTTTTTTATTTTTCTTACGTAAACCGATGCAATGAAACTTTTACGACAGCCAGTTATAATGTTTGCACATTCCAAGAACTTTTTATAGGAGATTCGAATAAACCACTGTTACTTTTTACTTCAACTTGTTCTTGTTTAAATTTTGGCCTATCGTGACGTATGGATTTAACTGATATGTAGAAGGGCCCTATACAAAATTCCTTAAATATTCTATACAGTACCAAAAAATGAAGAAAGGTGTAGCTACTTTAAACAATAATTTAAGATAAAATCATTTCTAGAATAAGTACTTCGTGACTTTGCAGCAGCCCTTATTGTCCTTAACGTTTGTTTATTGTAGATACAACCATGTATTTACACGTCACTACACTACAGAAGCCCATAATATGGGTGAGAAAATATTGTTGCTTTATTTTTTTAATTATTTGTTACAAATTTAAAGTTAAAGATGTCCCTGTGCCTAATTAATCATTATATGAGATGTAATCACTGTAACCTAATGAAAGATGCTTTTTCTGTATTTACCATGATGATTAATTTAGATGGCTAGTTTGTCAACATATAGTTTAACCGAGGAAATAACAGGACGGATCAATTAGTAGAGGGTTCCTAAGCCCTTATTAAAACAATCGGTAACACTAAGTGAATGGAGGATCAGACTTGGCGACAGAACGTTTCTTCCATTTGACTGATTCACGTTAGAAGTCATATGAACCTTTTTAAAATAATTACTTAATTCCAGACGAAAACTGTCTTTTGTTGGTCAGCGTAAGTAGGGCAGAATTTTGATTAAATTCCCTCTTTTAGCATTCAATAATATATTAGATTTTAATTATGTAGCATCGCGTGTGACTTTATGTAATACGTCCCTGCCTGTTTGATTAATATTTAACGACGTTGTATAGTCTTGAAGAGTTAGAGACAAACGTTAATACTAATATGATTTGAGTTGCCGTGTACCGAGTTGCATAAAATGTCAAATGACTCGAATTACACAACTGTGCTGTCAATTAAATAGTCAGTAATGCATTTTCAATCTTGAAATCCGAACACACTGTTTCCAACCATGGGAAAACCGTTTGTTTAAATGTGTTTATAATGCCGACAGCCATTATTCGCCAAAGACAGATGAAAGTTTGTTTCCTTCTAAAGATCAGTATTTTATTTAATTGTCGAGCCTTTTAAATATTTTAATTGTCTTTATTTTTAGCGACATTAACATAATAGTAATGATTAATTCCAAGGAACAGGTTCCTATCTGAGAAGCTGATAGTCGCGGAGGTATTCAATAAATGAGAAACATTGAGAACGACATAAAATTATCTTGATAGTTCGGCATGTGATCACAAGCTTAATAATGATAGACCTGTATTCAATAAATGAGAAACATTGAGAATGGCATAATATTATCTTGATAGTTGGGCATGTGATCACAAGCCTAATAATGATAGATCCAAGTGTCCCACTCTTGCACACTGTAATTATGAAATCGAGGGGCTCGCTTGTACAATGTGACCGATGTAATTTGTTTGTGTAGAAGCCATCGGTCGTTGCCAAAACAGTTTGTACGGCCGTGATCTTAGTGTGATGCAAATATCTTCAGAATG